CAGGCAATAAGTCCAGCAGCTATCTCAATCAATCGTCAGTTATGGAAAGATCGGGTTCCAAAGGCCGGATCCCTTGTGAATCAAGTCACGAAAAGTTCAAGAATCGGCAACAGGCCATGAGCCTATTTCTTCAACGCCGACACTTCTATTCTATTCTATTCTATTCTAATAGGGCAGTTTTACTGTAAATAATACAGTCACTTTACTATAGTTAAAAAGTGAAAGTTTTTTGCTAAATTTAACCCGAAATAAAATTGCGAAAATCATCGACTATTGTGCTCTCCAAGAACGAATTCATTGCGCATTGTGTGTTTTCCCGTTATGTATACCAAGCCTTAAACGAAGTTCTATACCAATCCTTATTCAAAACTATTAGTAATTTGTTTTCTTCATTTTTCAGCTTTACAGCAGAAAGATTCCTCTTTCGAGAATATCTGCCAGCGAGCGAATGAGTCTTCTGCAGTCGACAATCGACATGTTCGATCCGTGACGTCCACTCGTCCTAGTGACACCGAGGTAATCACACCAACTTCAACAACCATTTCTACGGCCATTACTTCAGAAAAAATCCATGCCAACGAAAGAAATTAATTTTGGATCAAAAAATTCTTTTGGAGCCGTTCATGAAAATTTGGGACGCTTATCGCTAACTTCTTCCACCGTTACCGTAGATCACATTTATCAAAGGGTATTGGGAATGCGTGTTTCACCTATCGCAAAGAGGATTCAAGCCTCTTCCTTAATCGAAAAAATACGTATAACTCGACCGCACCGCAGTTGATAAGCAATTGACCTGCCGCGGTCTTCGAAGAGTTTGCCTGCTAAACTGAAGACAAAGGCTGCTCTATGTTTACTTCACTCTGCTTAATATTTAGACTATCTTGTGGGGGTCATCTTCCTCTTTCGGATGACAGTCTCCGCAAGCGATAAACGTGGAACCAATGGATTTCCCTATTCAGTAAAAAAGAAGAAATTATATGGCGGCAGTAAGATTTTTTGTGAACTAATGACCGTACAAAACGAATTGATTAGCTAGTTGCTACACAATGGACGCAGCAGTTCAAAACCAGGTGAACTAATCTAAATAAAGTCTGTATGATGTTAAACTTTTGTCATGCACGAAAACTTGTCATGCACGAAAACTTGTCATGCAAGATATTATTTCATTTAACATCTCTCATTTACAATCACATAAAATCTTCCAATTATGCTGATTTGGCAGAATTAGTTTCTGTGCCTTCGTCAAATGTCGAATGCTGAATGGTTCCGTATACTGATAATCATTTTATTTTTGGCAATGATAAGCATCCCTCATTTGTTATGGGAAGGCGGCCTCACATATTAATTAAAAGTGGTCGCACAAATAAGTGCATGATTTTGTTCGTAATTTTCAAATTTTTGCAACTTATTTAATCACCCATACTTCTCACAAGTTATGGGCGTGAAGCACACAGAAAAACGTTTGATCATGGACAGTATTTTGCAGTCATGTAGTGATGGATTAATGCACATAAAATGTAAAATTCAGAACAGAATGTGACGAACACCTGAATACAGAAAAAAACAGAAGGCTTGATCTCATCAGAAGACATCGCTCATGTTTGTCATGATCTTCTAAGATGCACAAGGGACGATTTGCCGACAATGCACAAGGGACGACATCCACATGCATGTAGGTTGCTTCGAACAAATATCATTTCTCGCCCTTCTACGCGACACTTGCAACCACAAAGAGCTCTCAACCCTTACTGTATCATGTAAGATAGTGGTTTTGTGTACCACAAAATCCTGTTGTAGCTTGCATGAACTACTGCAATATTTTGCTATTCGCGCGTCGCCTATCAGAGCCTGATAAAATAACGAAACAACAATGGCAAACGGTGAAACGTAACATCCAATTGTATGTTAAACTTAGTAAATGGGTGAGTATGTCGAAACATCCCCTGAACTTTCCTTCTTACAAAAGTACAAGAATTTTTAGCTCTCATCTGATGAACGCTTGATTTTAATGCACAAACTCTCAAGCCTGAAGCTTATAAAAATTTCAAGGAATCGAAAATTAAAAGTTTCATTACTACAATAATTGATGGTGCAATGTATGAAGTAAGTCAACATCACAAAACTCCTGTTAAACTCAAACTCGCGTAGCATCATATAATGCACGTTTTAGATCGTTATATGCTGTTAACATAATGCTGCGAGTGTAATTCTTGGAATATAAAAATCGCATCACGACACGCGTATTACATCAAATTTGGAGATAACTTCAAAATTCACGGGTTATATCATTGTATCCTTATAGTATGTTTCGGACTAAGCAGTCCCACGCCACGCTGTAGGTGAGCAGCTATTGGAGGGTTGAAGTCAGCCAGCGGGCACCTGCAAGCGCCTGTAGTTGGTCAAATCGTGTGCTAATATAGCATAAATAAACGATCATTATTTGTTAAGGAGATATATTGGATAAATCATTGATTGGCAGAAATTATTGTCTAAGAAAGCGACATGTTTAAAAACGGTATATTGATCTATCTATTGTATAATTGATACAATTTATTTTTTTTATGGAAATAGAATAGATGCCGTTTAATAGGGGAATTCCTGTTTTTGATGTCCAAATGTGTCCCGGTGCGTCGTGCACACAATTATGGAGGAACCTAAATCCGGTTGTTTGAAATCGACGCCTTAATTACGTCTGTGGAGCAGTCTGACGTTTAACTTATCCATTGCCGTTTCTGCGGCATCCGCGAACTTATCCAGCGCAGTTTCTGCGACATCCGTGAACTTATCCAGCGCAGTTTCTGCGACATGCGTGACACGTCTTTCGCCGAAGAGATAGCCACCCATAAACGTTGGCGACATTAGGCGCATCACTGTTTGTGGTTTGAAACCTTCCCTTGCTTTGGCTTCGTGAGAACTCAAAACAAACTGGGACATGAACTCTATGGACAGGTCACGGCAGTTGCTCTTAAGGGGACCGCCCTATCATACGAAAACTTCTACAGTTATTATCCGATTGTCATGAAACTTCACATACATACGTAAAATGTATGAAATTCATAGAAAACGGCTAAAAAGGGGTACTTTAGAAAATCTATCTCCTCCCACAAATATCTTCCTACAACATCGAGACACGTATCAATCGATTCGTAAAGACCATATCTATTGACTCTAACATCACTTTTTTCATTTTCCATCTAGTTTTTTTTATTGCGTTTTTTCTATTTTTCCCATTTTTTTCTCATTTTTATAATTTTATCAGCCTAAACTATAGTTTTGGAGATTTCTTCAATGTGCAAACGTATTTTTGAGCCAGTCAATTTTTCAGTAAGAAACTAAATGATCGTAGTTGCTAATAATCATGAACAGCCTGAATGATCAGAATAGACTGGTGGACACTGTTCGCAGTGCACTGAATTTCTTCTGTCTGCAGCGAACGGTTCATCTATTAGTGAAAAAAAGCCGCTGTCTGCAGTGAAGATGAGAAATTTTGCGCTAACTCGGGAAATAGGGAGAATTTAAATAGTAATGAAAATGTTTACCTCGACGTAACTAAAAAAATCTATGCACAATTAATGTGCAGCTCATACTTCACTATTCTCGCGCACCTTAGACCACGTCACTACGCTGCCAGACGCTGCCGCTGAAATTTACAATGCTCTCGCCCAGTGTGCCGAGTTTAGAGTTGGAGCGTCCGTGAACGGGCCTCTTAATGCCAGGCCTTCCTTTGTGGAGTGACCAGCGCGTCATTTATCCTCGTAGAGTTTTGTTAAGGGACCTAAAACCCGCCTCCCTTTGAGGAGCTGTCACAAAGTCATTTTTCGACGTACAGGGACGATACTTATACCGTTCGATGCGCAAGAAAACAACCTTTAAGATGAGATAAGAAACAGAAAAACTCAAAATTTTCAAATTTTAGCTAGGGCGGTCCCCTTAATCCAGTCATATGGTCTGGTCAGATGGTCCGATCCTTTCATCCAACGAATGAAACTATCCAGACTTTTCCCAAGGCTCGAGTGCGAGTCGCTGCATCGAAGCTTGCACTCACACCCTGCGATAATCCTTGCTTGCTTCAGCGCCGTAGACACGAAGGCATCCTTCGATAAACTGCGCTGAAACAATATGCCGTCATCAAACTTATCCATTGACCAGAAAGCTCTTCCTATCTTCAAGACGATGTAGTAGTGGGAAATGGCCACGGGGTCCTCGTTCCTACCCTTATGGAAGGTCTTGACCCATTTCTCCTGGTCGCTTTGGAGAGGCGCGTAGTAAACTAACACCTCATCCAGGACACCTCCGTCCGCCTGGGAGCATTGCTCCATGGCGTCGTAGAATTGGGCCGGGGTGATGGAATAGATTCTGTCTCGGTGATCAGCCATCGAGTCAAACTTGATGAGTTCACTCCAAACTCCCCCGCTTTCGCCGGAATTGCAGCCTGCGTGTCATAGAGGAGAGGAAACTTATTAACGGAATGAATGAACTTGCTTGTTCATAAAGATCAAAACTGCACCAACGAACTACCTATACAAATGGGACATAATAATAATAGGAATGGCAGCTTATGTTATCAAATAGGCAGGTTTTGACGCCTAACGAAAACAATAACTCGATTGTATTGCAAAGACAAGCATTTGATGCGCTTCCCCAACCCTGGATAAAATTAGACAGGGAAGGATTGTTGTAATGACATTTAGCCCGGCATAGTTGTGTGCTTTTTTGTGTAATTAAGTCAGCACGAATCAGACGTGCGTCAGTTAGGTTCACTCACTGCTTCTGTTGCCGCTCCCCTCGACTGTAAAGTCTGAGTCCTCGACGCTGAAGCTGAAGCCGTCGACGCCGCTGACGATCTTCAGGCCGGTTGACTCCGAGCCGCTGCCGCTCGAGGTTGACTTCCAACCGTCACGCGTGGATGTAGAGCTCATCGTGAACGTCAGTTATTCGCCGGATGAACGTTTTATCTGTCACAATTTTGTAATTTCAGTGATACAAATAACAGATAAGACAATTTGCACTAGCGATTCAAGTAGCCTCATATATACAACTAAAATAATTTATGTTTCAAATTTACATATTTGACAAACTATTAAATTCCAGTGCGACGTGAAATTTTGTATTTTGTTGGGCCTGATGACCGCTCGGACAGTCCAGAATCTCAGGATTGACTGTCGCTCGGATTAACCAGCAGGTTAAACCCAGCGTTGCTTGGGACTGATGATCCGTGAGATTAATAATGCTGTTATGTTCAATTTAATCATCATCATACGACAAACTATATTCTTCCTAACAAATTAAATAATTTCCAAACCTAAATTGAGGGAACACTCGTTTAAACCTTATTTCACTTGCCTTCATTTTGAAATTTAGAAGACATGTTCATTTACATTCTTAAGTAAATGTTAGTTTTTACGTATATCAAACAACGATTAATTCAAATTTTGAAAAATGTATGCGAAGACTTGAGCAAGGGTATCAATAGGGAAAGTGAGGATTAAAATTTAAGGAAATTGTATGGAATGCCTACAAAAATTTATGTCTTTTTTTAATTTCTGGAAGTAAATTCATGGAAAACACCTCCCCCTCTTACCTAGAGGGTACGCAGCTCAGGAATGCTTATAATGAGAAATTGAAGACCAACCTCTTTTATGAAGAGGAGAAATTGTTGAGTTCTCAAAGTTTGAATTGAAAATATTCAAAACCAGAACCAGAAAGAACTTCATCATTAATTCAACGTTTTCATAGATGCCCACGATACCCTCATCACAAAATTTTTTACATTAATTACTAAAGCTTTAACTGTATCCTCTATTATTCTTACGATGGGCGTATGCGCGAGTCTGATGTTTGTTTTGTGGAATGAATTTACTCTGGAGATATTATAATTTGATCTCACGACTTTATTCAACTATTTTAGTTTGACAATTTTCAGTAAGTTTAGATTTACTTCCATTGTAACAACTGGGCTCACCAAGTGTGGCGCAGTCATAGAGCTGAGAACCTTCCTCCAGCAACGCTGACGGTTGACTGATGATCTGCGGCTCATGGTGAGGTAACTGGTGAGTGTTATTACCCTCTATTGAGAACAGTATCATGTTTTTCATCTATGTCCTGCTTACAATTGATACCTAATAGCTTTTTGGCAATAATAGACTGGAGGTGGCTCAGATCATCAACTAATGATCTATTTGCACCAGTTAAACTCACGGCATGAACGGTACTGAATAGTTCCCAGCATAAATAATCTAGGGAAACAACAAGCAACAGAGAACAGCAACAGACAACAGCAGCAAACAACAGCAACAAACAACAGACAACAGTAACAAACAACAGCAACAGACAACAGCAACAGGCAACAGTAACAAATAACAGCAACAAACAGCAGTAAAATACAACAGCAACATACAACAGCAACAAACAACAGCAACAGACAACAGCAACAAACAATAGCAACAAGCAACAGACAACAGCAAAAAACATCAGCACCAAACAATAGCACAAAACAGCAACAAACAACAACACCAAATAACAGTAACAAACAACAGCAACAAACAACAGCAACAAACAACAACAGTAACAAACAACAACTACAAACTACAACAACAGTAACAAACAACAACTACAAACTACAACAACAACAAACAACAGCATTAACAGCAACAAACAACAGCACCAAACCAAAGCAACAAACAAAAGCAGTAAGCAACAGCAACAAACAGCAGCATAAAACAACAGCTTCAAACAACAGAAACAAACAACAGCAAGAATCAACAGCAACAAACAACAGCAACAAACAACAGTAGCAGCAAACAACAGTAACAAACAACAACAACAAACAACAACAGCAAACAACAGCACCAAACAACAGCAACAAACAACAACACCAAACAACAGTAACAAACAACAACAACAAACAACAGCAGCAAACAACAGCAGCAACAAACAACAGCACCAAACAACAGCAACAAGCAACAGCTACAAACAACAGCACAAAACAACAGCAACAAATAACAGCAACAAACAACAGCAGCAACAAACAACAGCAACAAACAACAGCAAAAAGCAACAGAAACAAGTTCACTGAGCGCTAAGCTTCAAGATATTGCGGGCAGCAATATGACTGCAAACACAATGTGTCGTTTGTTCACACTCACGAGTGTGTTCGAGTTTGGTCAATCTAGGAACAAAAACGCGATGCTGAATGCTTTTTGATGGTGAAAAACATAGGTTTTTATTTATAAGAAGTAAAAAGAAGATATATATATGCCACGCTATCAGCTGAGGTATTACGGTCGCTTATGTTATCACTCGAAACATTGAAGCGATAGGTTATGGCATAATAATGAAATATTGTATAAATGATTTAAATTGTCTCATTGTTGGTATTGATGACGTTTTTTTGTGCTGTGCACTAATGACAATTGATGACTTTTTTGGGTCAAATTTGATACATCACTAACGAGCTTCTGTTACGCTGAAACGAAAAAAATAAAAATCATATAGTCATTGAACTACTTTGGCGTAGCTGAGAACAGTACTCATATCTGTATAGCTCGAGGTTTTGTTTGACTCCTACATAGTATACATTAATTAACAATTCAAACATTAACAATTCTTTGCAAATCTTGTTTTATTTTCCCAAATTCTACACGAGATTTAGGTCTGTTTTCGCAACATCATTTCCGCCAACAACGAATTCAAATCATTCTCGCCGATGGTCATTCATGCACCCTCCTGATATTCATATTCGCCGATCCTAAGCATTCATCAATGCGCTCTTAGATTTTGCTTATATATTTGTATAGAAGTTATTCAAGTGAAGCATGCCATATTTCTGCCTTAAGGGGACCGGCTACCCTCCGGAAAAACTTCTACAGTTATTATCCGATTATCATGAAACTTCACATACATACGTAAAAGGTAAAAAAAACATTTTGCTCCTATGTATTTTTCGAAAAAATTGATAGAAAACGTGAAATTCATAGAAAATGGCTAAAAAGGGGTACTTCAGAAAATCTATCTCCTCCCACAAATATCATCCTACAACATTGAGACACGTATCATTCGATTCGTAAAGACCATATCTATCGACTCTAACATCAATTTTTTCATTTTCCACCTAGTTTTTTTTATGGCGTTTTTTACCATTTTTTACATTTTTCACCCCTCCCCCCCATTCTTCCCCATATAAAAAACGAACCAGACAAAAATTAAAAAAAGTGATGTTAGGGTCGATAGGTATGATCTTTACGAATCGAATGGTATATGTCTCATTGCTGTAGCTTGAAAACTGTAGGAGGAGATAGATTTGCCGTGACAGTAAGTTGAACTTTTCAAATTTTTCAGGACGGCGCGACAAAGTCCCGTGCGCCTCGAAATAGGCACTCAATGTAGCATGGATACCAAACTACAGGCTTCTGTAGCTTAATCCACTCAAGGATGCTAGCAGCAACTTGTTTCTTGCATCAGGATACGCACATCTTGCATCAGGATACGCACCTCTTGTGACGCTGTAGCTGAGCTGCCTAGTTCGTTCAGTGCCTGGCAGCTTCAAGAAATATGCTACAGAGATAAAATAAGCGATGCTTGGGTCTATCCTGCTGCAATACTTTGGCTGCATGGCAACAGCTCTTGAGGAAATGCCAGGCTATGATAGCGAGGTAAAGATGAGACGATACAGCGAAAATGGTTTACTCCGTATTAGGATGGATTCTGCTAACGAATGAAGACAAATATGCAATATTTAATTTATTGACTTACTTTGAATGAGTAGTAAAGATATAGATATAGATTCGACTTGATAAAATATCTACAGTGGAGATAAAATATCGTCGTGAATGAAATCATCATAAATGGAAAGTGGCATCAAACTTATAAGCGATTCTAGGAGACTCATAGGAGAAACGGTGATTTTTAACATGAAAATTTATTAAATTTGCGGTTTACGAGTTTTTCAAGTTTAGTTTCTTGCTGTCTATAACAGCTCGAATCGAAGCTTGAGGGAGGAAACAATTTACACACGCCTGGCCTCCGCATTTGTTTTAGTTTCTGAAGGAATAGCTGGTTGGATCAGCTTTGTATATATGATGAATAAAAGAATAAAACCGAATTCTAACCAAACGTAGAGGGGTAACCGAGTCGGCATTCCCCATTATAAACAACGCCTGTAATGAAAATGATGGTAGCATAGATACAGCGCCTCACCACAAGAAGACATCTGCTCGCCCATGGCCTGAATGTCTCGATGGTGTCCACAATACCAGCATCCAAAGACGCAAGTAATATAGCATTAGGAAGTTGTAGCTGTCATGGTTAGCCACGCCTAACTCTGCATAGACAATAACTGAGATCCATGAATGCCGTCTATAATTTCCACGCGGAAGGCCGTGTTAAATAAATAAATAAATTAAATAATGTCTTGTTGAACCACACACGAGCAGGGTTTCCGTTTAACTCTCTTTGTGAAGTATAGTGAATTCTAATTTAACATTCAGAATCTCAATTGAAAAATAAACACAGAAAGTTGTGTGCATGTTTTTACTTGTATGGAGCCTGGTGTTGGAAATACATCGGGGATATTCGAGCGCGTATATCTATGTCGAGCCGTAGGGAATGATGGGGTGTTGCGAGCCGTAGGGAATGACGGTGCTGTATCATAAAAAATATCTTCATGCTGTGAAGTTACATTTTATTCACTACATGCGAAACAAAAATTTCCTAAAAGTTAGATATGAATGTTAAGTAGAAAAATCTATGTTCAATGTGGGTCCTAAAGGCTCATTGCTATATTATCATTACCTCAGTTTTGAAAATATCAATATTTATCAGATTTAATTTTTGAAGTCTATCTCGAGCAACGTCGGGTTGACGTGCATGTTTACTGAATAAGTAATTTGTTTTAACAATACCATTATAACGGATTATCTGACCGGCCAGAAATTGAACATCCCATTTTTGACTTGAGTACAGGATGTTTGAAAAATACTTACAGGGTCCTCTGCATGGCAAAGAATAATGCAAATGCATGAATGGACAGGGTAAGTGCTCTTGGCGAAGAAGACTTGGGGCCATACTTTTAAAACTCGCTAAATACGTGAAAGTAAGTACGTACGCTCGATTTTCTTGCCTATGATTGGTGGATTTTGCTTGAAAGGCTGTCAATGATTGCACTGTTAGAAAAAACGGTGAAAAAACGGTCCCACCGGCGTCCTAGTGGCCGGTCGCCCCGTGAAAATAAACTGTTTCGCCGTTTTTATCATATGTTTTACGGATTTCTGGTGTTAAATTAGAATAAAAACGGTGAAACGGTGTTTCTTTTCACGTGCCGACCGGCCACTGAAACGCCGGTAATACCGTTAACGGTAATTTTTCTAACAGTGTGGCTGATGAACTTACGGTCTCTTAACTTTTTTTTTAAAGTATATAGGCCTTGGTAGTGTTGGAAATGGCCGACGCGATGGAGTCATTCATAAGCACGACCACGAGTAACGTTGGAAATATGATGTAGTTATGTACCACAGCGTAACCAATACGCAAATTTAAGTGGTCGGCAATATGTGTGACACACTATAAATTCACAAATAATTACGATAGTAACTTCATTCTGTTTGCTGAGCAATCGATGCAATATGGATTCATTACCAGGGATTGAAGTACAAGTGTTTGTATTCAGAACTCCTCGAGCGTATTGAATTGGTTATGTAAATACGCTGAACTATTTTAAAATTCTGATTCTCACAGACATTCATCGCTACATAATACAATCGTAGTAATATCTTTGTAATCTGGGATCTGATAGAATAGTCTTTGTGTAACCGTCAAATGAAAAGAATTAAGCTAACTATTCCTGCTCTCGTAAACCGCGCCATCAGTTCGCTGTCACGAGAAATTCATTGGTCGAACCAATTTAAAAATAACGTTCAAGTATTTACATCCATTTCTTTATTAGTCAAGAGAGTTATTCCCATCTGTTGAAAAAGAAAAATCACTTTGATTTCCATCATGACAGAAATGACAGTCAACAACATATACTAGATTACCGTATCGTGGTGTCATAGCTTAATTGTGTTCCATATGAATGTGTTATTACAGCCTTCATTATTTATTATGATTACCCCAACTATCCTATAACTTCTTGCTTCATTTAAACGTACTGATCTTATGAGTTTTGAAAATAATGTATTTTCAATATGCGTTGCGTCTTGGGGGTTTGTGAAGGACTGCTGTAGTTGTACGCATATTAAGTTTTACCCGACGAAGGAAAACAAACTGCAACCAACATGTTATGCTTTTTCTTAATATTCAGTACCGAGCAGCTTAAACACAATACTCTCACCTGGGCTGAATTTATCTATTATTATTAAAATGTTGCTACTGCAGCTTGCAGTATAAGTCAGCGCTAGGCTGGAGTATTGCGGTATCTGGCAAGTTGTTGGTATAACGAGGCATTTTCGGTCACTATGATAGTGCGTAATTTATTAAGACACGCGCGTAAGATTTTCTTCAATTATTAATACCACAGCATTGATAGAACTATTTTCATAGTTTTCAAAAATATTAGCAGTTTTACTGCTTCCAATTTTTAGCGGGTGTTTCCCATGACGTTTCCCCATGAACAAACTTGAAAGATTTTCCATGACATTCATTCGCTCAGTGCGAATGTTTCTTTTTTCAGAAGAAAAAAAAAACATTGTGCTTTTCAGCGGAAATAAATGTTTTTGAAAATTACTTCCACGAAAATATTTCCTTCCGTGAAAAGGGAGAAATGAAGTACACAAATCCAACAATGTTCTTTATTCACTTAAAAAAATATTTTCATGAGGAATGGTGATTAAAAATGCAATATCCGATGAGTTCGTAGGAGTACAGTTAAATTGACCTTATCAATTTTTTTGGCTGAGAACAAACTTGAATTAATAGATACCTGAAAAACTTACGAAATTGGTCTGACGTTGGAACCGAAAAGTTACATCTCAAAAATTCTATGTTAAGCACCATATTTTTCAACAAATGCAACCTAACAAAAATCTTGCTCTATCATGGGCTCAAAACAACAAACTACCAGTTCGGTTTTGCCAGCAAATTCTTTTTATTTGCCTTGTTTGAGTTTCCTTTGTCCGCCATTGTTGTTGGACGTGCCCTGCTTCTTGTCGCCGTCCCCGCCAACAGAGAAACTCGCGTCTTCGATGTCGACGACGAAACCTTGCGCGCCGCTGACGATCTTGACGTTCTTGAGCTCCGAGTCGCTGCTGCCGCTCAGGTTTGACTTCGACGTCCCGATGCGTGACCCGAACATGACGATGGCGTGGACGTTACTTCCTGTGGAGGGATGGAAGGGAGGTTTAGGAAAATAGACGAAATGAATACAAGCATAGAAAACGGACGTGAAACATTCATATAGTGCGTGAGGAAGGGAAGAACTTCTGAATACCATCTTCTATACGTGTAACATTTTACTTTATACTTTATGGGAAAATATTTAGTCTCTCCACGCATGTTACTGTCACGTGTGTCACTCCGGTGCTTGCTACTCTGAGGTCGCCTGCACTGCGAGAAAACGGCTGGCAGTGAACTTTATATCGGCAAACTTTTACTGTCATCATCGTTTTGACGATATTAAAGAAATGATGAATTTAATTATAGTGGACACAATTTTTCCACTTCGGTGAAGCGATATGTACCCTCTGTGTAAGCTGTATGCGTACCCTCTGTATAAGCTGTATACGTACCCTCTGAATAAGCTTTTTCTCTCTGTTTACCTTCCGGAAACGTACCCTCTGTGCCCTCATTTTCTAATTTTCCCTCAACTCAAGTTGGTATAAAACAAATAAATTTACAACAAAATTGAACAGGCAAAAGGGCCTCGTGGTTTGGTTTCAGACTGAAACTTGAGTCATTAAATTAGTAAATTTAGAGGTAATGATTTCGTCACCATAAATTAACATAACATTATGCCAATAAAGGTCCATTACGACTCAATGCATTAAATCATCAATAAACCACGATCATCTCGTAAACATTGATCGTCTGATAAACATACTAATCACTCATGACATCGAAATAACAATCAGACTTTGCAGTGAGGCAGACTTACCAATTCGATATGGACGCTTAACTACGTACAAACTTCACCGAAGCTCGACGCGCACTGAAGCCATGCCAGCCACGGGCTCGGTTTATAAGTCAATGTCGGGGCATAGAACGTACCGAGCAACGGGCTGGCGGTTGAGGCCCTCCTGCTTAGAAGTGAACAGATGCTTCTTTGTGGTCAGATGTAAGGAATTATGCATAATTTAAATTGAGAATGGAAAATAATGTGTCTCATAATTATATATTGATGATGTCTGAGATGAAATCGTGATTGTAAGTTGCTTGCACAAATGAACCAAAATATTTTTAGGTTGACTTCTGATATGCTGGATAAATGGACAGAAAATATCGTTAGCGATCATAGTAGAAAAAATGTTATGCATCGTGATACTCATGATACATCATGATACGCGTGTTGCATCATGATACGCGTGTTGCATCATGATACGTTTGTTGCATCATGATACGCGTGTTGCATCATGATACGTTTGTTGCATCATGATACGCGTGTTGCATCAAGATACGCGTGTTGCATCGTGATACGTTTGTTGCATCATGATACGCGTGTTGCATCATGATACGCGTGTTGCATCATGATACGCGTGTTGCATCATGATACGCGTGATGCATCATGATACTCGTGTTGCATCATGATACGCGTGTTGCATCATGATACGCGTGTTGCATCATGATACGCGTGTTGCATCATGAAACGCGTGTAGCATCAAGATACGCGTGTTGCATCATGAAGTAGAGAGCATCATGATACGCGTGTTGTATCATGAAACGAGTGTTGCATCATGATGCAGAGAGCATCATGATACGCGTGCTATCGTATGTCGTATTAAAAATAACTTATCTAAATTAAGTTATCAGGTCCCTAACATCTGACCGCACATCAGATGACAGGCAAGCCGTAATGCCTGACAGGCACTCTTGCTACCACGGTCCGTAAGACGAGCTATTAAATTCATTTTCAATAAGTTGAACTGAGTTATTCAAGTCAAAATTTGTGTTAGGAAGGAAAAAATAAAATTTCTTCACTCCCGTCCATTTAGTCATTCTAGTTCATCAATTACATATGAATTTCTTATATTGTACTTAAAGTAAAATTGTATATAAAGCCTTAATTTCAGTCGTTTTGATCAGCGAACGTTCATCTTAAACCTTGAGGTCCTCCAATGCAGTTCAGATGATCGTTTCCCTTCACTACCTCGCAGGTGCTCAGCGTTCTTTGCCACAGGTAGACCAGTCGTCCGTGACAATAAGTTGCGGGAGGCAGGATATTATAACAAAAGTGGAACTGCCCTGCATCGGGCAAGATGGTTTGCAAGGCTTATGTTTGACTCTAGCTGGCGCATGGGCAGAGGTGGTCGATAAGGTGCTCAGGAATTTGTTGGAGTCGTCTTAAAGGCCTTTTGAGTATAATTAACATTTCTCAGCTCTCCCATGGAGGCATTGCAAACCCGCGGTCCAGCAACGGAAAGTAATCCCTCCTACAGAAAATGAAGATCCAAGAATTATTTTTCAATGGTATTTTGCTGAGTAAACTCTTCCTCTCAATTACTAGTGAACTCTTATCCTTTTTTTCCACTCTAGGGGGTCTCCAACTCACGTCGCTCCTACTCTCTACTTAAAACTAACGTGACCTCTTGCAACATAACCGCATAGACTGAGGGCAAGTGGAGAGTCTAGGCAACGTGAGTAGGAATCCCCCCCAAAACCCCTAAAAATAAAGAGCACAATATTACCATTGAACAGTAGAGTTTGTTATTTTAGTAGCAGCATGTGGATGTAAGAAAAGCCAAATTATTGACTAAAGTTGAAGTGATCAGTCCCTAACATGATGCCAAGGTCGATAATTTCCCACCTCGTGAGACTTGTGACATCTGCACACTCAACAAAGAACTATATTAACGATAGGTGAGTATAGAACGATTTGCAAAACACTTCGAGACTTAGAGCGTTCGCTTGACTTTCTTAATAGAGCAAAAATGAGGACTATGAAGTTATGGTACTGTTTAGTTTTATTTATTACAAGTGAAAAAGGTAATAGCTAATTTTTTCATAATTCTTTATTTTATCAACAACGATACTATGTACTTTTTGTACTATGACACAAGTTAGTTTTTTAACTCGACCAATAGTATTTTTCATTTTATTTCATCGTATATAATCTTATTTGCTATGCCCTGATGAAAGATGATCCTCTTTAAATCATGTAATTAAGCATTATTTTTCTTACATCGCAGGAGTTGTCAGAGGAGATGATTCCCGGTACCTGACAGGTTACGACGGCCTCAACTTCACCGGCGCCCACTACCAGTTCACCGAGTACACGCCCGACCTCAGCGTCGTGCAGATGGACAATTCCATCGAAAGCCTCTGTATTACGGGACAGTGAGTGAACTTAACGAATTATGACGAATTAGTGTCAAAAAGTTAGCGATTTTTTAGAATACAAAATTGTACGAATTATTATTACGTCTCAGTGTTAATGAACATATGCAATGTTCTCTGGAATAACCAGATATAAATGATGCAAATATTGAAATTATTGACGGATGCGATCAAGTTCGGTCATTTATGTGCAGCAGTACGAAATAGGGCTATTTTTCTTTATTATTTTGTTTTCAGTAGACCAACAAACTTCTCTTGTTATCCATATTCCAATGCAAACAATGAAACTTTTTTAATAACCAATTAATCCAGCAAAATTTTGTGACTGTGAAATCCTTCATGTTGAGCTGATTGTAGGAATGAAGAAAGCATTTCATTGTAAAGTGCTTATTCTGCCTATCTGCTCACAACAATACTGAAACAGTAACTAATAATGAACCCCCCAAAACATTGTTCTTATCAATAAAATGAAATGTTCTTGTTTTCAACATTTTGTTACTAATTGAACGGAAACATAGCACGAATAAGATTCGCAGAAAACCGGTCTAGGTAGCAAAGCATATCTCACGCTCACATATCTCGTCAAGAGAAAAATAAATGCGTCCTAATTAGACAGTATATCATGGAATAATGCGAATACAAATCTTAGATGGCATGCCTACGACGCCGTGAACTATGACCCAAACATGACTCAAGCTGCATGTCTATGGCGGGGAGTGGGATTCTGTTGGAACACTAGCTGCACGAACGCGGTGAGAACAACAGAGCTAAGCTGGAAGTCCCTTTAGATGTGTTATATAATTAATGATATGCCAATCTAGAGAATAAGTGTGCATTTTTTGCAGCACGACCAGTAATACATTTATTATAGATATAATTTTGGCTTGCCACGAAATTATTCCATGTAAGCGTCCCATGTATGTTCAATTTGGTCTAATTTTTCCAACAATACGAGCAATAAGCAAGTTTTTCTTTACGCCTAAAGTTTGAGGTGAAGTTCGTTCCAGAAGACTGTGTTGCTCTCATGCAGATATCGTCGGTGAGGTACGCAGGAAGTCCGTACGGCCTCAACGACGACTACTACAACCTATACGAGGGGACGTACTTCAGGGGCAAGGAGTTCAGGGGCAATACAAACGCTGGCAATTTAGGTGAACTGGATAAGGCCGTCTCGTCGCTCGTCGTGACCGGACAGGCGGCATGGACGTTCTTCACGTGAGTCATTGCAACTTTGATTTGGAAAAGGCTTTTGCAAATGATACAAATAATTTAATTCAGTATTCAAGAAAAAATCAGATGGAAATTCGTTTTCAAAACCTTTCCGTTGAAGCAACGAAAATTGTACGACCAATTATTATGTGCTTATTTCATAGGTAACTACTGAACTTTCTTGCGCTGAAGTTCGGATATTAATATTTTAGATAATGTTTATATTCATATCGCGAGACTAATTAATATATCTTATTTGAATAGCTCTTGTGAATAAAAGGTTTAGAAAGCAAGTAAGTTATTACGTCTTCTTGTCACATACGAGGCTAACATGTATTATTATTCGGTGTAGTTTCGGAGAAGCAAATTTTAAACGTGTTACTTACTTCAGTCAAGCTTCTAATTGCAGAAATGGTACGCAAATTGTAAATTAATTTTCAAATAAAAACTTATTTCTGGGACATTATGTCCAATGCTATAGTTTGAAATCATATATTTAGTGAAGCTAGTTTTATTCCGTGAAGCCTGATGGAAACTCGATCAAATGAAATACGCAGAAAAATAGAGGAACAGGTTTAGAAAATAATGCTTCAAACTGGACTGAACTGATTTTAAAAATTTTTAAACTCGTACATAAACAAGATATGATAACGTATAGGAATAGTCAAGGGTATATAGGGTAACGTATGGAATAGTCAATGCATAAAACTTTATATTGATATATAGGGAGCAAAGCTGGAGAAAACTTGTTCGCCCATTCGCTCAATTGTTATTTTGCGTCATTGCTTCCTAGTCTTTGATAGAAAGTGATCAATATCCAAGCTCTAGCTTATGAGCTCAATGTGAGAGGTTCATCCTGGCCTGCCCAGTGATGCTTCACTAATGAAATGCTTTACCAACAGCGGCGTCGACTTTACGGGGTCCAGCTTGTGCGTGTACGCGGATAAGCATTTCACGGACGGTGTCATATCTTTTGATACCACATACTTCTTAAATGTAAGATATCATACATAGCGTTCACGCTTCTTAACTGCAAGGATCATACATAGCGTTCATACTTCCTAACTGTAAGATATCATGCATAGCGTTCACAATGATGAATGCTTGATGACTTGCAAAGCCTCGCTCTGTGCATAATATGAACTATTTTACATAACTTTTAACTGTCAGCAAGTGTCTTCCCTGAGCAAGTTTAGAAAATCGTCTTTTGTTACCTTAATTGCTTTTCATTGCAATATGTTCGCCTCGAGCACATTAGATGGTCTGCTATATGATCGTCACTGCATTTTCCGTGCTCTGCAGGCATTCAGTAGATTATTTGGGTTAAAATATCAGAAGTGCCCATTTCTGGATTAATATATCCTCAGAATTTGTAGCCCGACAATTTTCATATCCTGTTTCCGTCCCTTTAATCGATTTGAATGTTGTACAGGCATTTGATATAAAAATGCATGTAAATGTAGTACATGCATTTATACAGTTGTAGCGTTTATAATAATTATATATTTCAACGAATTCTCTGGTCATCGGTCGCATGTGTGTAAACAAGTAAATTCTGCCATCTAATATTAATTTATAATAATTATGCATATATCGCACAGAACAACCCATACAAGTAATATACAACGCCCCTACAGATGGACGAGCTCGGCCTGCCCGACAACTCCATCAGGTCCGTGGCGCGAGGCTGCCTCAGCGAGCGCGTGCTGGGCCATCCCGGCGGTGAACCTGCGCCATCCCGGCGGTGAACCTGGGCCATCCCGGCGGTGAACCTGAGCCATCCCGGCGGTGAACCTGGGCCATCCCGGCGGTGAACGCGGCGGTCAAGATGCCAGCAACTGAACAGTCATGCGTGATGTTCACTGCACGCATGTAGGCTGTATACGTGTGCTGAACAGTCATGCGTGATGTTCACTGTCAATTACATAAGAATTTATCACATTATACTCAAAATAAAATTGTTAATAAAGTCTGTCATTCTAGAGCATCAATTACATAAGAATTTATCACATTGTACTCAAAATAAAATTGTTAATCACAGTCGTTTTGACCAGTGAACGTTCATCTTAAACCTTGAGGTCCTCCAATGCAGTTCTGATGATCGCTTCCATGTAGGTGCGCCGCGTTCTTTGCCTCCGGCAGGCCAGTCGTCCGTGACAATGGGTTAGGAGGCAGGATATTGTAACTAATAGGATATAATAGGATAATGTAACTAGGATATTGTAACGCCTTCCCGGCGGTGAACCTGCGCCATCCCGGCGGTGAACCTGGGCCATCCCGGCGGTGAACCTGCGCCAACCCGGCGGTGAACCTGGGCCATCCCGGCGGTGAACCTGGGCCATCCCGGCGGTGAACCTGGGCCATCCCGGCGGCGAACGCGGCTCTCAAGACGACAGCAACTGAAGCGTCATGCGTGATGTTGCTGCACGCATGTAGGCTGTATACGTGTGCTGAACAGTCATGCGTGATGTTCACTGCACGCATGTAGGCTGTATACGTGTGCTAAACAGGCATGCATGGTGTTCACTACAGTCGCATGAACAGCTTGTTGGTTGAACTAATATGTTAATGTTCGCGCACGCTCTGATGAGCGTATACGATTATCGCTAACATACAAATGATTATCAAACATGCGAATGTATATGTTTGATAATCGAATCGAATGTTTACGAATGTATGTCAAACATATGCGATTGTAAGTCAAACATAAGTGTATTGAAGTGTTGCTGCAAATTTCCCACTACTGTATGTCAGACTACGAAGTTTAAGTAGGACCGACTCTGACGTCGGTGTTAAATTGATTATAGCCGTCAGATACTATGCCGATCCCGACTTGCGTCCTGGTTCCTCTCTTGTAGGATTTTGACTCAGACGCCAGGGTGAGTTGCGTGCTATGGTTGGGAAATTTAGCTTGGAATACTTGATAGAATATCGTGATTTTTGTGTATATAACGACTTGTCATGCGTAGATATTTACTTTCTGTTTTCTGTTGTAGGATCGTGCATTTTCTTAGATCTCCATGCGTAAGCTCTCTCCTCGCATTTTGCTCTCATCGCACTTTAACTTCCTCCGCATTTAATTTGTTAGTTCGTTTCATATGCCGCACCTCTGTAAAAATCATTAGTGTTATTTGTTTATATTAATTTGCCGTTTATCTTTAATAAATAAATTGAAGAAAATTCGTTTGAGTAAATATCCGCTCGGTCCAAGCTTTTGCTGATTAGGCCAATAGGGAAGTTGCAATTAATTTCCGGTCATTGGTGGACGTGACAATTAGACCATCCGAACTTATGAGGTGACGCGATTAATTGGCTATTCGGGAATTCAAGATTAGTTCGTCACAATAAGATTGTATGACAAACATACGATTGTACTGGGTGCGTCAAATAAGTACATGACTGCATGTGAGTTGTGAGACATTTCCCTGTTTGAAAATTTTCATTGATATTCAAAGGTTTTCTGACTTTATTATTATTTTTCTATTTCCTTTTGAATAAATGTTTTCATGGCCTGTATATTTTAATTTTTTATTGACTTATTTAAAACGTCCGACGGTGAGATGCGATACTCCTCACACCCAGCACTTGACAATTATTTCTTGATTTCGTTCGCTTTCACTCCATTAGATGTAGTGAATTCATTGCTGGAGTACCTGAGAGGAGCACGACGCATGTTCTGTCGAACAGGTGTTCAGAATGTTCATTGATGTTACTCTGCCATTCATGAAATCTGAACACAATTGTCTTTAGCCTGATTTTCTGCAAACAAAATGTGGGGGAGTGTTATATATTCTGATGACGAACATTTTGGGCAAAGTGAAATAATACAATTGTTTCTGCAGGTTTCAGGTGTATCTCTGAAGTCCTTCATTATTACTTCTAATTGAGAAGCTGGTTAGACAAATAGATCTGTCAAGAAACTAATTCAGATTCCTTTTCACTGTTTAAGAAACTTTTCAGGAGAATAATATGTAACTTTTTCAGGAGAATAATATGTTTCGCACAATACCTACCTCGTACAATTATGATAGTTACGGTATCTTCACTACATTCAACTGCCTTTACCGAGAAAAAAATTGTGGGACCAAATTTTTTATTATTAAAAAAATGTTTGTATGAGGTAATTAGCGCGGCGATGAGAAACATGCTGAGTGGTTCTGAACACAGAACTTCGCTCTGAACGCTCGTTATGAAAAGATAGGCCTAAATTAAAATGTTATGTTTGTATCAAATTGCCCGGGAATCTAATCACAATTTGTTCAAAATCTTATAATAATTTAATCTCATATTATTGACATGTTGTTCAAATTAATTTTAAGTCTCACAGTGGGAGTTCTGAAATGTAAAAAATGTAATATTGATCAAATTGGATGTTTGCTTTGTTTTTATTTGATGTTATTATATTTCGACTTTTCTCTTCGGAGTAACTCGATAGATTGTCAGGTTGGTTTGGCCGTGGTGGCTGTAATGGCACGTAAAGATTCTCGATCCGGCATTCACGAGTTAACATAAGGAAGAATAACAACACATGGAAAGATTTAACACGACCTACTATATTATAAAAATGCAAACTGTACCTAGGTACAGAAATTGAGCTGAGTTATCGTCAATAGCACGGAAAACACTGAAATAATAATCAGACGCTATGAAACCCGCCTCTACAGAAATAAAAGAACTGCCTAACTTAAGTTTTCTCAAACAGGTACATCACCGGTCCAGGACGGAGGCCTGAAGACGGAGGACACTGAGGGACATGGTCGACGTCGCCGTCTCTTGCTCAGCTTCAGGGCCGTAATCTCCGCGCTTAGCTCGATGTCTAATGGCCCGGTCTGATCGTAGAATTTATGACGACCGTACGTCGCAATAGTGTCGTTGTCTTCATCTGCGATGGTGTTACTCCAAGCTTCTTGCCGTGCTACTACTGTTGATGATGAAGGTGACCGAACTGCTGCTGGTGATGATGAAACGTCTTCTCGATGGTTTTCTCGATGCGGCGGTGCTAGTGCGGACTCTCGACCTTCGATGGATTCAATCTCGAGACTCAAGGTCCGTAAAACGGCTGAAATCAATCGAAACGACGGTGGAGCGTTGGACTGTTGAGTAGTTCATTTTATAGAAGAGTCTTATACAGGATTCTTTCGAGTATGTCGTGTTTTCATACTCGTCCGCTGTAGTAGTTTCCCGAAATCGTCGCTCAAACCCCCCCTTCCCCCCACAGAACCGGAACAATCACTTCGCCCTATATCTTGCTATTCGCATTCTCCCCCAAATCACACACTAATTAACATTCATAATTCTTACTCTAATCAAAATGACTTGAAAACATGATTATTAAAATGAAAAGCACGTAACAGGCTTTGATTACGTTTAATTAGACAAATATGATGTTTTGCCACATATTGTGGTCTGCACTTTTATGTTTGCAATAAAACTTTATTTTACTTTTACAGCATGCAGAATGTATTCACCCATTTCAAAAAGTACTCTGAAGTCCTCTTCTTCATTTGTTGATGATGTAGATGTAAAATAGAAGATGTTTTCTGTAATTTGTTCCCAATATTCCTTTATTCCTAGACATATAAACAATTTTTCGGAAACGAAAACTATTTTTTCCATTTTGTAACACAAACTTTCAAAACAAATAGAAGAAATTCCTTTTCATACATTAATGTTTGCACTTAACTTAACAACTTAAAAGTAAACTGTGCTGGTGCCTACATGTTTTTATGGAGTATGCCTAACCGAGGCTACCGGTATCAGCCAACATGCTGAGCATCGTGTTAGTAAAAACGAGCTTCCCTCGGTTTGTGCTCATTAGGGTTAGTTTGAGCCTGATGTTCTCTCGTTCAACATCAGCCATGTCATGCTGAACAGGGTAGACAAATGATATCTCCTTTGTATCACTGCCTTCTTTAGGAATTCAACCATGACATCGCAGTCATCGTCTTGGACTTTTTCTCTCACGCGAGCAACATAAAATTTCTCACGTTGTACCCTTCCATCTAACTCGAACCTAACAAGGATAAGATCATCTTCATTAACGAATATTTTAGAGATGTCTTTGTCAGGTTCCTGCATCTCATCTTGAGGATTGGTCATGCCTTGAGCAACAGCAAGGTCAGTTCCATCATTTGATTCAAGCTCATTCTCCTCGTCATCTGAATATTTGTCGAACTGTAACGCCTTCCTTACATTTGCTGCCTGCTTCTTCTGGATTTGTGTTGTTGCTGAACCTGAAGTGCTGGCCCTTGGCCCAGTGTGGGACTTTCCAGGAGTAAGCGTGATAGCCTTTCTTCGTTTGGGTGCATTATTGACTTCAGTGGGTGGAGAGCGGATTTCTAGGAGTTTCTCAAGCACAGCATCCGAGACGAAGTTCCTTGTATTTTTAACATCTTCTTGCGTGGTTTCTCTGCGAAGTTTCCTGCGCACGCGCTCCCTGTCAAGTGGGTACAATCCTGTGGCTTGAAAGCCCATGCTCATATTGTGCTTGACTTCATTGTTGATCGAGTGCAAGAGGTTTGAGAGGAGGCGTGGAAACCAGTATTTTGGGAGTGTTGCAATGTTCTTGCCAAAAGTTTTCTTCCAATTTGTAAGGGTCTCGCGCTATTTCCTTTTCAATGGCCCATAGAAAACCACATCCAGTGGCTGCATAAGATGCGTTGCGTTGGCTGGCAAAAAGACGAAACTCATGTTGCTTTCATTGCAAAGTTTAAATACGTCCTGGTGCAGATGAGAGGAGAGGTTATCTCCAATTAACACATTGTGACCTTCCAAATTCTTACAGAAGGGCAGCCGAAGAGTTTTAAACCAATCATAAAACGTGTCAGCGTCGAACCAGCCACTTTTACTGACATTGTAGCGACAGGCATGAGGGGGACTACATAAGGTGGAAGGAGCTCCTCTGCAGCACT